CCCCCGCTTTTCCCTCTGATTCCCCAGATGGCAGCGACGGGTGAGGAAATATTTACTCTGCCTGCAGGTTGGAAGCAACTGCGTACAAAATAACACTTAACCTCTGTACCTTGGGCTGAGTGCAGTCCAGTTAACCCTTTCCTTCCTAGGCCGGTCAGCAAGAGGCAGGTCACAATGGGCAGATGGGAGTTATCTTAAGAGGAGGGGTTTTATTGCCCCCCCCCCCAGGTAAAGCTCCCGTTGAAGGCCGGGGGAAGAGTTTTGCTTAGCCCCGCGGCGGTAGGGGAAATGGTTTGTTTGGGCTCAAGGCCCATCACGCACTCCTGTGGCCACGTTGCACCTGGGATATAGTTGGTCAATTTCATACCCCTCTCTAGTAGTGCATCAGTAATGGGGCTCCTAGCAATGAGGGGCACGTGTTGCATTTACCCCCCCCCTTTGCGTGACGCCCGCGGGACCGCACAGTGCGTGGCTTTGGCTCTCTGCTCCCCGTTCACTCGTGCCAGGCTAACTCGTTAGTTACGGAGAAGCCACCAGCAAGCAAGGAAAAGAAGAGGGAAGCAGGCAGGTTCCCGTCGCTCCTCGGGGTCGTAGCGTTTCAGATGCGCCCGGCGAGCACTCGCATTGATTCTTCCTCTGCGGCCGGCTGTTTAAGACGATGACGGCGCTTTAAAAGAGAGTCACCGTGGTAAAGACAGACTCGTGCGTGTATTCACCACATACCTGCAGAGACAGCGCTCAGACCTTGCTGGGCACCGGTCTCCCATTTTATTGACTCCATTCACGAGAGTGGAGAGAGGGGCAGGTGCTGATCTAGGGGCCGAGAAGCCGAAATTCCCGGACTCACCTTCCATAGATTAATTGAGCCGCTGGAGTTTGATTCCGCCCCCGTTCTATCCAGTTGTAATAATTTTAACATCCTGAATTAAAACAATTGCAGTCAGTGATCTTATGAGGACAGAGTGCCACCTACCGTCCAGCTGTAGGATACTATCTATTGACTTTGATTCTTATATGCTTCCTTTTAACTACCCAATCTTCAGAGACTTACTGATTCTCTCTAGCTCTCTGTCTTCCGCCCCCTTTTCTTCCCCCCCCCATTCCCCTCTCCTATTTATTTTGGGTGTGCACATCCTAAACTCATAACTCAGGTCATCTGAAGAAGTAGGCTGTACCCAGGAAAGCTCATGATACAATCTACATGTTTTGTTAGTCTATAAAGTGCTATCAGACCATTTGTTGTTGTTTTTCTGTAACAAACTAACTCGGCTACACCCTGAAACTGTAGGATTGTGAGGGGTAAAAAGGCACCAGAGACACACTGCTTTTGCCTGAGGCTTTTCTTAGGACTAAAGCTTGATTCTAATATATTTTAAGTATTTCTTCAGTGTTTACTTAGCTTCAGGCTAGCTCCTTTAAAGGCTTGGTTTGGCCTATTCCATCACATAGTGACTGTAGATGGGTTTCATCATCACACTCTTAAGCTAGGCAAAATAGGCAAGGCAATTTCAAGTAAAGGCAGACATGATTTGTTTTGGGGAATTGGCAGAGTCTGGGCATTTTGGAGTGGAGGGAGTCATTTGAGGAAATGGGGAGAACAATTCTGCGAAGGGTGTCAGGAATTCCACTGAGGACAACAGGAGGAGAGCGGTGTTACATCTCCAAGAAAGTAACTTTGTTTTTCTTGGCAGATATTGTAATTTATCCATGTTTAGAACTGTTCAGAAATTATTTCCACTCAGGGAGTCTTTCTCTCCTTCTTACTGGCTCCTCTTAAACCATCTGGGATGTACGGAGTGGGCCAGAAAAGAGACAGATTCTTTTCCAGACCTGGACAGAACTATCCCATGTCCTGCAAGTTGGAGGGATTCCTGGCTCCCCAAAGGCAGTAGAAGGGATCTTTATCCCAAAGCAGCCATCTGAAATCTACTACTAGCAAGAGATCCCCTCCCCTGACTTGACACCTATTATCTGTTTCCCCCTATAAACTGGTTTTGTGACAAGGCTACCTCTGCAGGTCCTGGCTGACTTAGCAAACAGATGGATTCAGAGGGCTGGAGGCAACAAGCCGATGATGCTAATATTATTTATATTTTGCTAGCTATTAAAGGCCCCAAAAGACACATACTCCCCTTTATGGTGGTGGTGGTGGTGGTGGTGATAATGATGATAATAATAATATATACTAAATGAAGCAATACTAATATTAATACTAATGGCCCAGTAATAATAAATGGGCCATTCATACTTAATAGCTAGCTTTTATGCATCATTTGATCTCTGAAGTGTTTCAAAGGTCAGTCAGTGTCATTATCCCCGTATAGCAGATACATATCTAGAGCCTCTGTTCCAAAGAGCTTGTGTTATAAATACACAAAACAGATGAAAAATAGGAGGGGTAACAAAAGTGATGACAAGGATTTTGGATGAATGGTTATTACACTTGCCACTGCTGTATAGGCAGAAGAGGCGGGACCGTGAAAGGAAAAAATAATAGAATGAGGATAAAACTGAGGGCATATGGGAATACAGAAAAAGCCAGGACAAAAGAAGGGGAAGAGTCATAGCTGGCTAGTGAAAATGTTCTATTTGGAGGCTGAGTCTGCCCTTTGCTCACCACGCACGGGTGGCTCCTGTCCCATAGGCTGGAGTTGATTGCCTGCTCGGGCCCATTGGCTCTCTCAGCACCAGAAGATGAACACATCCATTCACAGGCAGAGACCTCCTTCCTTGATGGCCCCCTTCCTGCTTCTGGCAACACTACAGGTGGTTCCTCCTTTGCTGGGACTCCCCCTTCCCTCCCTAGAAACCTCTCAGAATCCCGCACCGCTAGGACCCCTTCTTTCCTCAAAACCTTCATGATCTCACCCTTCCCTAGGACCTTTTTTCTTACCCCACAATCCCCTCAAGATCTTTCCCCTTCCATGGGATTCCCTGACTTTAATCATTTCAGAATGTATTCTATCATTCCAGGACTCCCTTTCTCTCCCCCACAATCCCCTTAGGATACCCCTCTCCTAGGACTTCTCTCCCTCTCTCCACAATCACCTCAGGATCCCTCCTGCCCTCTGCTTCTTCTTCTCCCTTCAGCATACCCTTGGATATCACGTTTCCCCTTCCCTCTCCCACCATCTTAGAATCTCTCCTGTGCCTAAGTTGACCACAGTGGGGTGGTATCAAGGTGAGAGAAGTAGGCTCCTAGACTCTGATCCTGCAGGTTGATGCACATTGGTGGGGTCCCACTAACTTCACAGAGGTTCTTTTTGGGTGCAGGGGCCTGCGCAGAAGTAACAAGTGGCAGAACCAAGACCTCAGATCATTTAGGAATCTAAGTCAAAATTAACATCACCAAAATGCACCTGAATATTGTTCCTGTTTTCTTCTGCAGGATCCTAGCACTGCAGCATTCCCTGCCCCCCCATTCTGGTTCTTTCCCTGCTTAGTCCTTTGCTGTTCTATGCAGATTGCATTAGCAACCACAGAAGCTCCTCCATAAGTCTCTTGTCATCTTATCCCACGTCACATGGACCCTTCTCGGTAGGGCAGTACCCTGTGACCATCCCAGCACTCTGATATTCATGTGCCCTTCACACCAGCTTTCAGTTCTCTTCCTGTTATCCCAGCCTCGTGGCTTTTTTCTATTTTCAGGGTGTCTCCCTAGACATGCTTGCTAAAGTAGATCCAAACAGAAGCAGAAAATGCTGTCAATCCTGTAGAATATCAAATAGTGCCTAATGTTCACACAAGCCAGGGAAGATCAATGTGCGGATTGGAAGCTGCTTAGCAAAAGATTTGCGCAACTAAAATGGAAATAGCAGACAATATTCACCAAAGGGAAAGGACGTTAATTTGAACCATGCCATCTATGTGCGTCACAAATAGATACCAGACGCTAGAGTGATCTACACGAAAGGACATTCCAGGAGGGGCTAGAATTGTATTGCTTTCACTGCACACATGTGAATTGTTTACCATTCTGGTGCCAGAATACGGTGGGGGGGGGAGAGGGGGGTGGAGGGAAGA